ATACTTTTATTCAAAAGTGACAAATGTACAATAAAAAAGTCTATTTCAAATAAATGCTGTTCTTTTGAACTTATATACTTATCAAGTAATCCTTAAAATATAACATGGTTTCCACAAAAATATTAAGCAGCACAACTGTTTTCAACATTGATAATAATAATCAATGTTTCTTGAGCAGAAAATCAGCATATTACAATGATTTCTGAAGGATCATGTGACTGGAGTAATAGACTGGAGTAATGAACATTCAGCTTTGCATCACAGGAATAAATTACATTTTACAATATATCAAAGTAGAAATTAGTTATTTTTAATTTAAATAATATTTTACAATATTACTGTTGTTTGTTGTATTTTTGATCAATTAAATGCAGCCTTGCTGAGCAAAAGACTTATTTCAACATGACTTGAAGGCCACATCATTTAAAGTAGTCTTGAATATCAGGTGTATTTAAAATCATAACTTTAATGCTGAGTGACATAAAGATTAATTACAGTGGTATTAACCATACGGACTCAATCTAGCAGCTGGGAGCAAATTGCAGATAATAAATATGAAGCCGTAGGCCTACAGACTGAGATAGCTTAATGATCTTAGCATTAGTCTTATAGTGAGAAAGTGGGTCGTATGGTCACAGAGTTTAAACCCATCTTCAAAAGAAAGCCTTCAAAAGAATAAAAGTTTTCGGAATGGTTTCCTCCACTAAATGCCTCACCCTCAAAGGAGTTATTCAGAAGAACAACAATTTATTCAAAGCACCTTCTAATTAAAAGCATGTGACAGAGAAACTGCTATACACTCCTCAAAGAGGTCAAAGGTCACAAGACTTGTGTTGTGAGAATGGAAATGTAGCCCAATGTTTATTTATAACATATAGTCAACAGTCACTGGAGAATATTTTAATTCTGGTCCTGTAAAATGTCTTTGGTGTGTGTGAAAGCTTTGAGAAATGTAGGCCTCCACTTATTTGTGATGGTATTAAAGAGAGGATTCCTGTCAGTTTTATATGAAAAGAAAGGCTTCCTTTTCATCAATGAGTGCTCAGCCTGAAGAGGTTTGACTCGCACTTAAAAGGTAGTTTTGTGCAAAAACAAATGAACTAGTATTAGTATGGAAGCAGGTCCTTTAAGGAGAGTCTAGCCATGAATTTTGTCTTTTTTGCTATCCCAGCTTTTTGTTCTATATTTCAGGACAGGAGGTAGGTATAAGAAGGAAAAGCACCCAGAACCATCATCCATTAAATAATTAAAATGTTAAAAATAGTATTAAAAAATTGAACAGTTAAAATATCAAAGCTTTGATTTTCAAAGGACCTTTTTTGCTCAACATCTCGTCAGTGAACCCAAATATAAGGATAAAATAATTAATTGTGTTAGACCTCATGAAATTATTTGGCAACGCAATTTTCTTTCCATTTCCTATTAAAACATGAATTTCCATGGATGTTGTTAGTGATGAAAAATAATTTTGAAGACATTGCATGCACAATAAGTAATTTCTAAATGATGAGCTTAATTTCACTATTTTATTTTTATTTATTTATTTTTATTTTTTTAAATACTTCCAGGTTTTCCGTGACAACTTTCTGTGACTACTTCTTTGCAGGTTGTACATACAATTTGGATGTTCTTATCTCAGTCTCAGGCAGCATTTTATTACAGATTTCTATATTCCCTTCCTGACAAGATGAGGCATCACTTTTTGGTTCCCTGTAAGAGAAAGAATGTATATATTTTAAATGCATTTATCTGCTAGTTTCATCAACTTTTAAGAGTACACTGATGTCAGAGCCAAAAGACGTGCACTAAAATGTTGTAAAATTGTGTTTTTATTCCCAATACTGACACAGCAGACTTGATGACTTAATGTAGACTCAGATCAACCTCAGACTCTGCTACATCCCCCTCTGAGTTGGACTAGCTAGACATCAGTCAGGAACTATACACATGACCTTGTGATCTGTGAAATACCAGCCTGTCATCCATCACCCACATACCATCTCTACCAACAAACTCCTTTACCCTTTCACAACTCATTGGTTTAAGTTCCAGCTCACAAGTTACACAAGATTTTGGTCTTCCGTTGCATTAGAAATCGTATGATTGAACCAGTCACTACTTGTAATGCTTTCACTGTGTAATTCAGGTCCTTTTAAGTCTAATTAGAAATAGACTGCACTTCACTAAAGCCAGCCGATATTAAGCAAATGAAGTTAAGCGCAGTGGGAGGCTGAAATGATAGGGTAGAGCTCTTGATTGTTTATAGATGGCTCCCCGTATCAGCGGTTAGGCACTCATTAACTCTCGCAGACATTTGAGAAGCAGAGAGAGTTTATTTATGTAATCTCTAGACAAGATACTCTGGGCTCTGTCAACAGGAAAAAGCAAATCATGCCTCAGACAGCCTCAGATAAATTTATGACATGCAAGCCATCAGATTTGACTGTTAATGTTAAAGGGGTCATATGCTTTTTTAAAGATCATTATTTTGTGTATTTGGTGTAACAGAATATGTTGACATGCTTTAATGTTCAAAAAACACATTATTTTTCAAATACTGTACATTATTGTAGGTCCTCTATGCCCCGCCTCTCTCAAACGCTTCGTTTTCTACAAAGCCCCCTCCTTTGACAAGCGCAGTCTGCTCTGACTGGCCAGCTGACCCAGTGCATTGTGACTGGCCGAACACCAAAAGCACGCGTCGGAAATGTAACGCCCCTTACCATAAACGCGCAACTTCAGGGATCTTATCTATGCACAATCAGCTTGTAACACTCCAAAGAGAAAGGAAAACTTGAAATCGCATCATATGACCCCTTTAATGTCGTGTTGTGTTGTTTAAAGACACCCACAATACAACATAAATGATCTTTCATTCAGATTTATCCATAAATGCGTTGTTTTTGAGTGGGCACAGCCTTATATTTTGCCTTGAGTGATCTTGTAATTCTCCATTCGTATAGTCAGCCCAGACTGGGGGCCTTTAAGGCAATAATTTCAGACTTTTGATAGTAGGGTGTGAATAGAACTTGGCCTCTGTTTCCCATCAGAGGATCAGGTCTACCTTATGGCTACACTCCCACCTCTTCTTGATGATGCCTTTCCACTGAAATCTTTTCTAGATTTCTCCCACCTGCTAGTTTCTTTAGCTACTCCTTCCTCAAGATCCTCTTGAGGGCTTAACCCTGTGTGGAGCTTGAAGAAGCGGATGATATCATAACAGAATTTTATTCCTTAGTGTGAAGATCATTTTAATAATCTAAAGAACCTTTTTCCACTATAAAGAATCTTTTGTGGAATGGAAAGATTCCATGGATGTTAAAGGTTCTTACTGGAACCATACATGCCATTAAAGAACCGTTATCTTTTAGGAGTGTTGCTGAATTAATTAGTTGGCATAATTGACTATATCTTTTATGTAGACAACAAAAGCCGAACTAATAATCCGTGGGCAATGTAACTGTCATCGTGAAACATTCAAACTACCATAGTAAACCTTTAGCTTTTTGCCATCTGCCCCCTCTGTCTTAAAGGCACAATATGTAAGATTTTTTTATTAAAATATCCAAAAACCACTAGAACAGTGTTATATATTTTGCTGACTTGTGTACTTACATTATCCCAAATGTTTCGAAGAATGTTTAAATCCAGAGAAATAAGCAATTTTAACTAGTGA